CAGTGATATTAAAATTCTGTCTGATTCCGATAAATTGCAGATATTTTGAGATTTTTTTGTCTAAATAAAAACAAAAACAAACAAATAAATACATACATACATACATACATATATAAATGAAGAGGCTCATAACTGATATACTCTTAAAACTTAATAGACCAAAAAACACAAAATAATTTCTACCATAATGGAATGCCCAGTAGAATATATTCCAAGTCGATTAACAACAGTAAAACAGATGGCCCATAATAAATTCAACAACACTTTTTATGATTATGATATTAAATAAAATACAAAAAACGAATAGGTCTGTCTGTCTGCCTGTCCATAACTATGCAATCTAAATATTTGACTATTAAGTGAACAGAAAATTTCACATTATATGTGAAGATTATAAATCAGTTCGGCCATGACGGAATGTCATGTGGTAACAGTAAAACACATCCAGATGACCTACAATAAATTCTGCAAGACATTTTATGATTATGATATTCAATTCCTCCCGAACTGTGATTACACTGATTCAAGATTGATAAAATTATACATAATTCCCCATTATTATTATTATTACGCCTTTGAAAACCCAATAATGACAGCACTTAAGAGCTGAAAATCCCCTCAAAACGCAAGCGAAACTCATGTGATCCTCATATCAGGCTGTTTCTGAAAGCCTGAGGCTGACAGATTTGTTAAAAGCTGTTTAGGTGTATCAGCGTGTGTCTCTCACCTGGAATGTCTGAGCTCCCTCTCCGCGGGCTATATGACACGAAGAGTTCAGCTCCATTTGTCCCTGAGGTTTCCGGATCATGTCACTCTGAGAGCAGAACAAAGGCATACATCATCGGTGCTGTATCTCTAAACTTCCTTCCCTCACACCGTCTCTCAAATACCACCACAGAGTTGTGGAAAAGTCTACTCACCGGTGACTTATAGTACAAGATCTCCCCGTTCCTCAGAATGAACCAGCGCCTCTTCCAAGCTTTCACCTGACTGCCCATTTTCAGCAAGTAACCCGTCTTTTCTAGAGTCTCCTATATTGAAAGACACATACAAAGCCTTTAAACATGGACAATCTGTATTCTAACTCTATCCTTCTAACATGAATTGGATTGAGGTGAACGGGAATGCTAACTGATAGCTGTCTCCAGTATTACAGAGCTCCTTGGACTAATACTAAAATGTAAGAAAAGACTGTACATTGGTTACAAATGTCATCTGAAGAACCTCTGTACTAAAGAATATGCATATACTACAATTCAAAAGTCTTGGGTCAGTATGATATTTTTTTAAAGAAATTAATAAATAAAGTAATTTTATTCAGCAAGAATGCATTCAATTATGACATCAAAATTCACAGTTGTAAGGATGGTTTTCCTACGGTGGTTCAGGCTGTAGGATTGCCGAATGACTAAAGAAACGTTATCAGCACGATGGTATAAAACTGTACATTTCTAGTCTATTACCACCCACTGCCACTTATACCAACGACGGAAATAAGCGCAGTTAGAATAGCTACATATGTGGGAGAGCGTTGCTATTGTGTGACTATTGTATTGCAATAGGTAACACTTTAAGATGAACCTTGAATCAAGACTAGTTAGCACATAATTAATAATTGAAATGGTTTAATAACAATATTTTGTTATGGTTACACTTGAATTGGTTACAAAATAGATGAAGGATGGTAAAGCATAGTTAATTGTACCCAACATGTAAAATATTACCTGAGAGAAAGAGATAGAGAGAGGAAGAAAAAGAGGGAGAGAGGGCAGAGACCCAAGAAGAGAGACAGCCAAGAAAAGAGACAGAGCAACAGTTACAGTCCTCTTTTATCCCTTCCTTGACCATGTGACTAAAAACCAAATGTGAGACATTCAAACTGACCAATCAGCAGATTATAACTTCACCCACTGGGCAAAAGGTGTGACAATTAGCAGACCCCCGGTGTATACACATGTTGGCCTACAGGCATTGATCACTATCAGCACCTCTGTGCCTTCAGGAATTCCAAATGGCCCTTTTGTTACTGAAGATAGGTTTGGGACAGGAAAGCAGAAATCTTTGATAATTTTTGACCTTACAACT